TAACAGAGAAACATAAGTGTTTATTATGATGGAAAGTCCTTTGCTAGCTACTCTGATTAATGTGAACCTTCTATTATTTAAGATTTGTAATTGTTTAAACTTCAGGCTCATTATCTCTGACAAGGGTCATTATTAGGAATAAAGATAAGGAGCATTCTGAAAGAATGCTTAAGAAAGAAATATATTATCTGTTAATTATATTTATCCACATTAATCGTTATAATTGTAGGGAAAATGGCTGTGAAGCTAGTTTAAATTTAGCTATTTTGATCTGATGGTAATTTTTACACCATTGTTCACATTGTTGATTTATGTATGCTTCTTTGTAGGATTGTGATAATTTTCATTTGGCTCTAAATGTGACCCATGATATGCACATGCATGTGCATACATGCACACAGATGCCTATATTTATTAAAGTGTATCGATGATCAAATACCCAGTCATGATCAGCATTAATGTTGTTACAATTTCAATTAGTTTTCTTAATTAACATGTGTGTTATTATGTACTGATGGGTTTTGATATTTTCAGCTTAACAAAGTGAACTTGTTTTGTAAAGAAAATGTTTATAGTGCATATTTTGCTTGTTTTCACTTTCTCATCTACTAAATCCCTGCAGCCTTATTCATTTCTCCTGAAATGAATCCCTGACAATGATATATATAGTGGAGAATCCAGGGTTGGAAAATCCAAGACAAGAATGAGAAATTAAGATTGGAGGAGCACAGGAAGGGCCAGGCCTGTAGGAGGCTCTGTGTACAGCATGGAATCTCAGCACCCATTGGATTGTCAGTCAGAGATGGCAAATGGTGACCTGAGGCAGCAAGCAGAAATCAGGGAAACAGGGCTACCAGGGTTTGATGGGAGTTTGAGCGCAGTGTAGGAAAAGATAATTTACATAAGGAGTCAATTTCCAGGAACTGCAAGAACTGTGACATCATTCAGGTGGAAGAATTTAGACATCCATGTAGAAGCACTTGAGCATTTTGGTGCAGGCTGGGTTCCAGCCAGGAAGTGTCTGAGCTATTCCCTGCCAAGTTAGGACCAGTGCCAGGATGAGGCCTTTAGAGCCCACTTGAAAATCAGGTCATGGGTATGTGTGCCTAGAAGGAAAGGGGAGGTGGCCTGGGAGGGCTCTGATACCTGGGGAGCAGGTTCAGGATATGTGGTAACTGTGGGTTCAATCAGCACCTTGTGGAGCACTGAGTGCTCAGAGACTCAAGCCCTTTGTTGTAACACACCCATCTTCTAGGCAGTAAAACCAGTGGCCAGGGCTTGGGATCAACAACCCTTCCCTGTGTGAGGGCTGTTAGAACTCTGTTCTCACGTTTCTCTGCTATTTACTCAGAAATAGCACAGAGGAGGGACTACAAGGAGGAGTAAGATACTTCAGTTTAGAAGTGCTAAGAAGTTTGATGTCTGAGTAAAATTCTCAGTTCTCTCTAAGATTTCTCATAGCAGGGCTGGAAGAGTGCTAAGTAGTAAGGAAGGCTAGTTTATGAGAAAAGTGTGATTTATGGACATGTAAATGTTTTTTCTGTGTATTACACATTAGGTATACAATAAATATTGCATATAGTACCAGTATGTATATTTATAAACTGATATTGCCTGGGAATTTCTGAGAATTATGAGATTTTCAGTAATTCTTTTTAACTCAGTTTTTTGGGTTCCTTTTTTAGATACTACAAAACCATTTTGCTTACTTTTATTTTAATTCTGTTAGAAAATTAGAGCAACTAACAAGAAAAATTTTATTGTTAGAACCTATTGATATGAACCTTATTTTTGTACTGGTCCCTTGGGGCTTGAACTCAGGGTCTGGGTGCTGTTTGGATGCTTTCCTTCCTCAAGGATAGTGCTCTACCACTTGAGCCACAGCTCTACTTCTGGCTTTTTTGGTGATTAATTGGAGATAAGAATCGAATGGACTTCCCTGCTTGGGCTGGCTTTGAACTGCAATCCTTAGGTCTTAGCCTCCTGAGTAGCTAGGATTATAGTTGTGAGCCACCAGCACCTAAGATCAGATTACAAGTCAAAGGGGAGGAACAATTTCATAACTTATGTTATATATTATCAGATTGTTTTCCAGAAAAACTGAGGTAATTTGCCATACCTTTTTCAAAAATCCTTGTTTTAGACTGTTTGGACAGCCTGAGTACAGGAGAAGTACATACATTTTTACTTGAAGGTCTAGCTGTAAAGGTAGCTCTCACAAGTAAACTGGACATGTGGAATTTGAAATTATAGAATGGATTAAGTGTATTGTGTATTTGTCCTTCAGAATGTGGAGCCTTGGAGGTAGGGACATTGAGAGCTGGAGAGTGCAGTGTTGAGGTGGGAGACCCCTGTGGAGCAAGTAAGGTACTGCAGTTCTGCTCTGAGATGCTGGGAAGGTCCTGAACCAAAGGGAAAGGCTCAGCCAGGTCCCAGGGTCTCTGCTGCCAGTGAGGCTTCCAGGTGTGCAAAAAGTTCTGCAGGGTTGAGCAGAGATATGGGAAAGTGGGCAGACTCTGGAGGCAGGAATCTGGCGAAGAAGTGGATGTGTAGTGGCTGCTCTGGGGACCCCAGTCTCTGGGCCATATTCTTCTTGTATACCTGGACATTGAAAGCCTTCATCATGAAAAATGCCAACTCCAGGATGTGGAGTGAACTTTTCTTTTTTTTTTTGGGGGGGGGGGCAGTTATAGGGCCTGAACTCTGGGCCTGGGCGCGTCCATCAGCTCTTTAGCTCAAGGCTAGTGCTCTACCACTTGAGCCACAGTGCCACTTCCGGCTTTTTTTTCTTTTTGCTTATGTGGTGCTGAGGAATCAAACCCAGGGCCTCATACATGCAAGGCAAGCGCTCTACCACTGAGCCACCTTCCCAGCCCATGGAGTGAGCTTTTCATTTGCAACATAGCTTGTTCATTTTCTAGTAGAAATTGATAGAAATGATAGATTCTGCGGAAATCCATTTATTCTTTCATGATGTTCTTGTCTGGTTCATAGAGATTTCTCCCCTTACTTCTGATAGGGTAGAGACCTTCAGGCTTTGTCCCAAGGAATAAATTTCCCACATTGCTCATGTATGCTGACATAGCATTGCATATTTGCCAGCTTCCTCAGTGTCTTGCAAATATTCTGTTACCTAAACATATTCTGTTACCTAAACACACAACATGTAGCAGCACATCACAGAACTGGGTCAGGAGGGCTCTGCCAAAGATAAACATTGCATGCAATTCAGCAAAGCAAAATGGACGAAAGATAAAATCATAGATAAATTGTTAGCTTATTTATGAAGTATCAAGTATATACCTTTTAAAGGGAATAAGATGAATGGACTTCTTATTTAAATCTCATTATTAAATTAAGTAGAAATTGAGGTCTATAATTGTTTAAATTTCTAGGTCCCAAAATATAGAAATAACTAATTAGTGGCCAGAGAGAGGTAAGAAGCATTTAAATGACTACCATGGTAAGAGAGAAATAGACCAGGGTTATGACATGACTTACTTAAGCATAAAAAAAAAAACTTACCCTTAAATTACTTTGGTATCTGGGTGCTGGTGGCTCATGCCTGTAATCCTAGCTACTTGGGAGACTGAGATATGAGGATCATGGTTCAGAACCAGCCTGGGCAAGAAAGTTCCCATGAGGCTCTTTTCTCCAAGTAACTACCCAAAAACTGAAAGTAGAGCTGTGGCTCAAAGTGGTAGAATGCTATTCTTGAGCAAAAAGAGCTCATGGACAGTGCCTAGGCCCTGAGTTCAAGCCCTATGACTAACAATTTTTTTTTTACTGAAGCATCTTAAACATAATACACCATATAACCATTTTAAGTGTGTAATTCAGTTGCATTAACTATATTCATAGTCATCATTTTCAAAACTTTTTATCATTCCAAACTTTAATGATTTATTTATTTATTTATTTATTGCAGGTAAATGTTGGGTTACCTTGCATGTGTGCTGGTTTTAGGGGCTTGAACTCAGATGTTTAAACTCTGGATGCTCTCCCTGAGCTTTTTGGCTTAAGGCTACCACAGCTCCCCTTCCAATTTTTTGGCCATTAATTGGAGATCAGAATCTCAGGGACTTTTCTTGCCAATGCTGGCTTCATACTGTGATCCCCAAGTCTCAGCCTCCTGAGTAGCTAAGATTATAGGCATGAGCCACTGACAACTGGCTTGGATTACCTTTTGAAGCTTTTCTCCTAAGGATTTATTTTGTAATTGGTTATCAGATTTTTTTCTTTTTTGGCTTACAGAAATGAAGCATTCAGAGTCTTCACTTTTCAGTTTCAGTTTCAGTTGCCTTTCTTCTTCCCTAGTGCTGCATGCTTGGTTGGAGAAGGCTCCTACTAAAGTGGAAGAGGGAGGGATGGTGTGTGAGGAGCTATATAGCTCTGTTGAAATCTTCAGAGCAACTCAATTTCTAGGAGAATACAAACAGTCAGATTTTCTTGTACTTCTCAATGCACCTAAATTTAAAAACATTATATCATTAACAGTTTAGAGGAAGTTTAAGAACTTATCATCCCTTTGAACACAAAAAGGATTATTTTCACATATTTTACCCTTTATGTTATGTTTGATAATTAATGTTTGTACCATAAATCATTTTTTTCTTCTAAATTTCACTTACATTTCTTCATGTTTCTCAAGTCTTCATAATAATAGTCTAAGAAATTAATTCATATCACCATACTATTTTCTTAGGTTCTTAGGTTGCCCCAAGTTATAACTATTGTAAATTAGTACCTTTGGGTATATTCTTTCTAGAGCTTAACTCTTCATTTTATGAAAAATGGAGAGGAAGGGAAGGAAGGAGCAAGAGAGGGAGGGAAGGAATTAAGAAGGAAGGAAAAGAGGGACAAATTTACAATGCTTACATGAATCTTGTGGCCAAGGGTTTTTGTATTTTTGATGATGGCTCAGTGAAAATGAGTGGTAGTGTATGTTTTGAGAGTATGAGAAACATTTGATGGATGATGAATGTTTAACTTGGTTACAGGTTGTGAAAATCTTCGAGAAGCATGACCCCTTGAAGAACACACAGACAAAATATGGCTCCATCCCCTGAGATGAGGCCAGCGCTGTGCAGAACTATGTAGAACACATGCTCTTCCTGCTAATTGAAGAGCAAGCCAAGGATGCTGCGATGGGGCCAATTCTGGAATTTGTGGTCTCAGAGAACATCATGGAGAAGCTCTTCCTGTGGAGGTTGAGGCGTGAATTCACTGATGAGACTAAAATGGAGCACCTAAAGATGTATGAGATGTTAGTCACGCATCCCACCGGCCCCTGCTGCACCATAAGTCCATTCTGAAGCCCTTGATGATGCTGCTGAGCTCTTGTTCCGGAACAACCACGCCTGTTGTGGAGGCCAAGCTGGTTGTCCTGCTCAATCAGCTCTGCTCCATCCTTGCCAAAGATCCATCCATTCTGGAACTGTTTTTCCACACCAGTGAAGATCAAGGGGCCGCCAACTTCCTCATCTTCTCTCTCCTGATCCCCTTCATTCACCGTGAGGGGACAGTAGGCCAGCAAGCTCGAGATGCTTTGCTGTTTATCATGTCTCTCTCTGCCCAGAACAGCATGTGGCCCATCACATCGTGGACAACACCTACTTCTGTCCAGTAAGTTCCTTTCCTTAGTGTTCTCCCCCCACACCCCTTTCTTCTTGTGAGCTATGAGAAATGCTTTGAAGGGAGCACAGAGGTATCTAGGCCTAGAGGCTCTTTGGCTGAGCACTGGCAGTTCAAAATAAGCCACGAGGGCTGGGAAGGTGGCTCAGTGGAAGAGCGCTTGCCTTGCATGCATGAGGCCCTGGGTTCGATTTCTCAGCATCACATAAGCAAAAAGAAAAAAGCTGGAAGTGGCGCTGTGGCTCAAGTGGTAGAGGGCTAGCCTTGAGCTGAAGAGGTGAGGGATAGCGCCCAGGCCCAGAGTTCAGGCCCCACGACCGGACCCCTCCCCCCCAAAAAAATAATAACCCACAATAGGAAATTGTGTGTGCTACTGTTTCTTGATGCGTTTTTATTGAGTTGGGAATAATTTTAATTTTTCTTTTTTTTCTAAGAGCACATCCTGAGAGATTTGTAAAACTCGCACTTTAGGCTGGGAAGGTGGCTCAGTGGTAGAGCGCTTGCCTTGCATGCCTGAGGCCCTGGGTTCGATTCCCCAGCACTACATAAGCAAAAAGAATAAAAGCCAGAAGTGGCGCTGTGGCTCAAGTGGTAGAGCACTAGCCTTGAGCTGAAGAGCTGAGGGACAGTGCCCAGACCCAGAGTTCAGGCCCCACGACTGGACCCAAAAAAAAAAAAAAACAACAACTCGCACTTTGTAAATTCTTAGCTCTTGTGGTTGAGTTTGTTCCAGTGAGTCAAGGCAGGTGATAAAAACTCACAGCTGGTTTGACAAATTAGTGTCTCAGCAAGGTAATGACCATTAGTTGTAGACCCAAAGCATTGATTTTATTTTGAAAAATGAATGCACATTTGCAGTAACAAGAATTTTCTACTCTGTGTACAGTTTTTTAAGTCCATAGTATGGTGAGCAGGATTCTTTGGAGATAGCTTGTAATCCAGGCCTAATCAAGTCCAGAAAATACTGGAAGCAATTTGAAATTCATAGGAGTTCTTAGGCCTCCGAGTGATTTTTTTGATGTTTCTGCTGTCTTTGAAGAAGGGTGTAAATGACAGATTTATAGGTTTGTGCCTTCTGCTCCTGGACAACAGCTATTAATATTTTCCCAGTTCAGTGACATTTCCATTGTCTGTTGTTTTTACCAACCTTCATAATATATATGGCATTATGCCTTGCAGAATAGTGCGGGACACCCTTAGTATGTTTTGCTGGAACCGGGGAGGTAACTTGCCATAGGTAGGTTAAATTCATAGTTAAGTCTATATGGGAAGATTTTGGCCAGTGGTGGTACGTTCCCTAGAGGATATTTAGAAATGGAAGTGGATGTGTTTGGTGGTTGTCATAGAGATGTGAGGGTCAACTGGTAGGTTGTGTGCAGGGGCCAGAGCTGACATGCTGAGTAGCAAAAGGTTACATACATTGTGATCATATTTACAGCAAGCTTTAGAACACAAAACTGTAGTGCCTGACATTTCTTGGTTACACACAGACAGACGCCCTTCCACCCACCACCCACTAAAAGTACAAAAACAAGAACAGGAATGGTATAGACTGTGTTTGGGACTATAGTTTGAAGGATGAAGGAAGATAAAGTCAGGAGTAGGAATAAGTTGTATTTGTAATATTTTATTCATTTGTTGTGATGCTTTTGCTCTGGATTAAGGCTCAGTCCTTGCGCATGCAACGCCTGAGTGCCACTACTCAGCTCCACCCCCAGTCTGTAACATTTTGTATTTTGAAAGAGTGCAGAGTGCTCTGAAGAAATTATAACAAAATGCTAAAATCTGTTCGCTATTGCCGAGGGGTTTCAGTTCTAGTGTTTTTTGTATGTTTGTCATATTCCAAAATTTAAAACTTTAATCAAATAGGGCATGCCTTTAATATTTCGCTTTCAGCTAAGTGTCATAGGCAGATTTCACTGAGTAACTGTTGCTATCTAAAAATGTGTTTGCAAACGTTGTACAGTTCATTAAAGTGGAGGAAACAAAATCACCAGCTGACCTCGTTTGCTGGAGTGGAAGAAGAGCTTCATGGTGTTAAGTTCCTCCTCAGGACAGATCCCATAATCTCATTTGTACCCAGTTTTCTAGAATTACATCTGACCACATAATTAAAATAAAAAGGCCCCTTTATGGTGCAAATAAAAGCATACTCTATAACCACCCAGCTAAGGGCCACAATTGACAGAAAGTTTCTCTAATTACTATGATTGTCAAAGTCTGTTAGCATCGGGCTGTTGGAAGAGTAATGAGTCTTTCAGCAAATTGGGCCTCTTTACCAAACTTCATCCTTAGGAAGTACTGTAGATGGGAAGAGGCCAGCACAGGCTTTGCTGCCTCTTCTCTCTAAGTAACGATGAGTAAGGGTATCTGGGAGAACAGCCTGGTGCCAAAGATGGCTGGGGATGACATAATCTTAGGTTATTTGGTATTTTTAACCAAATATGTGTAGTTATGCCCATGCCTTTTGGGACATGTTGGCGAGTTCAGGAAACAGCCCACTATAATAAATTAAGAAGTGCATGTTGAAATAAATGACCTTTAGGTACACAGCTGCAGGTAGGAAGTTATTTATCCTGTATCCAAAATTTATGAGATTTTTTTTTATTTTGGCAAGTCATATCAAATGGTCTCCGGCAGGTGTTTTGCTGCTAGCTTCAGACTAAAACCATCTGCTAAAAATCTTTGTTTTTGCTAAAATTAACAAGGTGCTTAGAGTCTGCCTGGGAACATTGCTGTGTGGAAATTATTGGGCTAATATCATCACATCAATTGCTCTTTTTAATCCTTGCAACAATTCAATGAAGAAACTAAAGTTTAGAGAGTTTTCATAAGTACTCATCAGTGGCAGACTCCGGCTAAAAACCAGATACTCAAACCCTGGTCTCAGTACCACCGTGCTATGCTGCTGCCAGGGAAGTTCTTTGCACTTTGCCTCCTGTTATCCATGAGTTTATGTATTTTCTATGAGTGCTCTTGGGAGATGATATATTAAAAACAAAAACAAAAACATTGGGTTAATACTATTGAGGATGAATAAAATGTTTTTCAAGTTTTGTGTGGTCTGAGTGAAAAAAAAGGCCAAAATAGTGGATGAGCATTTTATTTTTAAGTAAGTCTTGAGTACATCTTTAAATTTTTTATAATTTCATTTTCAAGTTAAAATGAAATTAGAGAGGAAAAGAGTGTCTGGGGCATGGTGATCTATGCTTGTAATCCCAGCTACGTAATAGGCATAGTATTATCTTGATCCATGACCAGCCCTGGCAAAAATACTAGACTGGATCAGAAAATAACCTAAAAGCAAAAGCGCTGGAGGTGTATCTCAAATAGTAGAGGTCTTGCCAGGCAAGTACAAGACCTTCAGTTCAAATCCTGTTAAAAATTAAAAAAAAAAAGTAAATCTACTATGTTATCAAACTCTTGAACCTGAAAAAGTTATCTATAGACCTTTTGTTACTCTACTTTTCCCTAGTGGCCACAGCACTCTCTCCGTTCCTTAGGATAGCAATTGACCTTGCATTTATGGATGGATGAGCCATCTTCTTTTCTTCTTCTTTTTCTCTTCTGGTACTAGGGCCTGACCTCAGAGCCTCCTGTTCTCACTCTGCTTTCTTGTTCACAGTTAGTGTTCTATCATTTGAACCATCCTTTAGTCTAACATTTTGCTGGTTACTTTGAGATGGAGATTCTTGGGCATTTCTGCTCAGGCTGACTTTGAATGGCAATCCTCCAGGTCCCAGCCTCCTGAGTAGCTAGAATCACAGGGATACACTGCTAATGTTTAGCTGCTGCCTGTTCTATCCAGCACCAAGTTTGCTTGTGCTTGGCCCACAGTATTTGTCTTAGAGCTATGTGCCATCAGGGTGGGTGGTTCTGAACTCAGCGTATCACCTAGGAAGGGAGGATATACAGAGCTGTAAAGATTTGGGAGCTTAAGTACTGTGGTTCACACCTGTAATCAGGAAATCAGTCTGAGACTCACCCAGGGACAGAGTTCAGTGAAACTCCATCTAAACCATTAAAAAAAAAATGTGGTCATGGTGATGTGCATCCTAGCTATGAGCAAAGTGTAAGTAAATAGGAGGATTTCAGTCGAGGCTGGCCCAGGCAGAAAGTGAGACCCTATTAAGAAAAAATGAGCAAGAGCATACAAGGCTTGGGGCAAGAGGAACATGGCTCAAGTGATAGAAAACCTGTCTAGAACATTTGAGGCTCTTGTTCCTAAGAATAGGAAATACTTTGTATTCGGCAGAGTATTTCCCCGCCATATTTCTTTGTCATTCTGAGGGGTTAGTAGAGATAAGGCAGAGCTGGGGACTCCCCCTCCTCAGCTGTCGCTCTTGCCCTGGGAGGGTCCTATTTTCTGGAAATGCTTCTTTCTGTTCCCATCCCAGCCATGCCCTTTCAAAATACTCACTTAAGAAAAGTGAATATTAGGTATGTGTTATTTTTAATTACTGTCACTGATGTATGTAATTTGAAAATTAATGTTGCTCTAATTATATTGATATACTGAATAGTTATTGCCAGTTTTTAGTCCGACAAATTAAGTCTGTCTTTATGAATTCATCTTCAAAGCCTCACAGTGGTTAAGAAGGCAGGAGTATGCAGAATGAAAGCCTTTGTTCTGTGGTTAATTTAGCATGAGTTAGCAAATGTAATTGATTTAAAAAATGTGGCATCGAGATTAGACTTCTCTTCAAGGAGAACTTCTGGACTCTGTTTGCTTTTACCAGAGGTTTCTGATTTAGAACAGGTAACTCATTTGGGTCACATCTGAAGAATTAAAGAGATTTGAGTATGTTGACAAGGAGTTAAGTGCTTTAATTATGGAGCATCTTCCTCTGGGACCACAGATGCCCTGATTGTGAAAGAGATAATGATCTTGCTTATATTTCCTGAACTTAACTTAGTACCTAGCCTGAAGACAAGTCCCCCTCCCCCCTTTTTAAAAAAAGTGAATGAACAGTGATAATTCACAGTAGAACAGAGGAACGAATGTGATCTGCTTTCCTCTAGTATTGCAATGGATGGTCAGTCCATTTCTCTCACTGCCCTTTATTCTATGCCACGGGCTCCTTTGTCATCTCCATCAGCCTTCCTGGTTCCTCCTGTGTCCCTACCTGCTTTCTCTGTGCTAAGACCTCCCACCATTACTCTGGTGGTAGAGTTAGGTGTGTTACCCCTACCTCCAGTGGGAACTGGAGGTCTTCCCTGAGATGGAGAAGACTAATGAAGTCAACTAATGTAAACCAGAGAGATGACCACCACAGACACACAGAGAATGCTGGATGGGCATGACAAGGGAAGGGAGACGGCATTAAATCTAGAAATCATCTCCCTAAGATGAATATACCTGGACCCCATATTCCCTTAGATTTTTCTGATTTTCTCATGTCAAGGCTCCATGGCTTTTATCATACCTCACCTGTGGAAACTTCCCTCTTCTTCTTCTCTTTCTGATTTGTGTGGCTTGAGAGTGCTTTCCCCGAGCACCAAACCCATATAGCCGTCCATCAGCCTCTCCACTGGGCTCTCAGACTGCCCCTTTTATTGTGACCTAGAACTCCAGGGGTTCTAGGTTCATTTTTACCTTGCCTGTCTCTTTTCCCACCTGGGACTCTGCACTTTTCTTACTCCTAGAGGGTACCATCCTTTCTTTCTTTAAGTTTTGAACAGTCTGTTTCCTCTGTTGGTACTGTTAATCCCCTATACTCTTTTTCTGTCTCTGACTCCTGTTTATTGTTTAGTAGGTTAGGCATCACTTTTTTTGGTGTGTTTTCTTTGCTTGTCTTGGGGCTTGAACTCTGGGCCTGGGCACTGTCCTTGAGCTCCTTTTGCTTAAGGCTAGCATTCTGCCACTTGAGCCACAGTGCCACTTCTGGCTTTTTCTGTGATTAATTGGAGATAAGAGTCTCACAGATTTTCCTGCCCTGTTGGCTTTGAACCAAGATCCTCAGATCTCAGACTGCTGAGTAGTTAGGATTACAGGCGTGAGCTATCAGTGCCCAGCCAGACATCACTTTTAAGGCTATTCCCACTGCCCCCTCTCTCCAAGCCTGTCTCAAGAGCTTTATGTCCCCCCACATGTGTGTATTCTACTGTGTGTTCTGAACATTTACCACACTAGAGCCTTTGCCACTCATAAGACAATGAGAATGTCAGAATTTCTTTTCTGGGCCTCCCCCTTTGTGTTTCTGGAATGTGCTCATCCTGTTTGAGCTCACCTTGGCCTCAGATCTGTGTTAGAATGTTGCCTTGTGTAGCTAACTCCCAGTCAGTGTCCAGTCAGTGTTGTTCCCACTCCTCTGTGTATGTATCTGCTGAATCAGGATGACTGAAGTGCTGCTAAGGCTTCCCTCCCTACTCCGGTAGGGGGGGCCCCAGTTCTGTGAAATCCATGGTTTTCCTTGATCTTATGCTCTATAAGATAAAATCAGCAAGCATTGGCATTAAGTGTTTCTCTATTAGAGGCATCATCCTTCTCTTAATGACCATACTGGCTAACTGGATAATTGGGTTATCTTTCTTAAGTGGAGTAGTAAACCCCAGGAATTTGGATTATAACCGGATGTGTTGGTTGGATTGCCCTGATAGCCACTTTATGTGTGAGGCTCATGTATTTTCTCCTCTTTTTCTCCTGCTGATGCTTCAGTGGGCCCCAGTTGCTCTGTTTGAATGCAGTTACCACATCTAACTGACCTCCACTGCCCAGTTCTTTCTAATCGTAAATATGCACAGATCAGCAATGACTTTAAACTCGCAAGGAATTACAAGTCTCTTTCTTATTTTTTTTTCTCAAATTAAGCTGAATTTTATTTAAAATGTAAAAGAAATTGTTCCCAAAAAGTGGATAAATAAATCAAAAAGATACAAAGTTAGCCAACCTATATGTACAGCATAATGTACAGTACTTAAGGCTGGTAGAATTTCACAGTAGAGTTTGATGTGATCAGACTGTGTCTAGATTGTAAAGGGATTCTCAGTGTGTGATGCTTGGTTTTGGGTTTACTCCTTTACTGAGCATGAGCAAGAGCTCCTGCTCCTTGACCATAGCCAAATCCCTTAGGCCCAAAATTCTTTGCATAGCATCCTTTTTTACAATAGATTTCACCATCTTTCTCAGTCAGAGTTGTTGATTCAAGACTCTTACCACATTTGGCACATCGGAAACAGTTTTTGTGCCAGGGCTTTCCAGCTGCAATTATCTTCTCTGCTGCATATACAGAATCCCCACATCTGGAACATTTTCAGCGCCTCCAAACTTCTGAGCAAATTTAGAAGTGTTTGGATTTGTTGTAGGCCTGTGAGGCTGAGCACTCTCTGGCTTTATGCCTAGCCTCTCACCACAGTCCATGTTGAGTGTGCCAGCACCTTGGCCATATCCATAGCCTTTTGACCCATACTTTTTTCCATAGCAGGATTTGCAGTAGATCTCTTCATCATGAATTGCCACTGTTGTACTATCTAAATTTTTCCTGCAAACCATGCACAGAAAGCAGCAGCAGTGGAAGCTCCTGCCGTCGCACTGCACCTCTTCTGCATGGTACACGGTCCTCCCGCAGGCCCCACACTTATTTCCACCTCCCCAGACAGGCATTTCGAGTCGGAGGCGGGAGCGCACTGCCCACGGAGCTGGCGAGAGCCAGACCGGAGGACAGAGCCCGCAAAGAGTTCCAGACAAGTATCTTTCTTATTAAGCTCTTCTGGTCCCTACTTGTCCTGGAACATCTTAACTCAAGGCTGCTTTATAGATGAGGGTATTTGCACAAAAATACGTCTCTGTGCTTGCATTCAGTGTACTGTACTTTCCCCAATTGTTTATGACTTGGTCTGTTTCTGGTAGTTCTTGGGTTCAGGGTGGGGTTTTACTCATCTTGTGTCTACCCTTCTTACTCACCCCACCCCAGTCCAGCATGGCACCTGGCACACATGTGCCACCTCATCACTTGGTGAGGAGTCGTCCGATCCCCTGGGATGGCTCTCCCCTCCCCTCTCCCCTGGTGATGACTTCCTTCCTTCCTGATAAGTTTCTCATGCTTTTAACTCCTCACACTCGAAGGCTAGTCTTTGGACCAGCAGTGGGTATGACTTGTGAGCTGTTGGGAAGGACTGAATGTTTCTATTTGTGAATGCAGGTGCTTGCAACTGGGCTCAGCGGGCTCTACTCTTCTCTGCCCACAAAACTGGAGGAGAAGGGTGAGGAATGGCACTGCCTTCTGAAGGACGACTGGCTGCTGCTGCCGTCCCTTGTGCAATTCATGAACTCCCTAGAGTTCTGCAATGCAGTCATTCAGGTAAACCATGCACTCCCTTTCTCCGCCTGCCCCTGCCCCACCCTGGGGCAGCCAGGGCAGAGTTAGGATTAGCCAGCAGCAGAGCCTAGAACCTATTGTACTTGTAGATAGTTAGATCAGTTTACCAGAAGCCATCCAGTGCCTTCCAAAGAGTGAAAACGTTAGTTTGTAGATTTCTGGGAAATTTCAGTTGAGAAAAAAAAAAAAAAAAAACCAAGATGATTTTCTTTATCTTCTTTATAAAAAGTGTTCATTCTGTTTTGATTATCCACTTAACCATCAAAAATAAGTTCAGTGTCTGACTTATTAAATAGATATTGTTAGGCTTTTAAGTACTCCAAATTATAACACTTTTACTTCAAGGTCTTCTAGGGATTCAACAAAAGAAAACACTTTATTTTGCTTAATGGTGCATACTACATAAAGAATATTGTTATCCCATTTGAATTGGGAAGAAGTTAACCATCTTCCTAGCAACACGAATTAAATTTACTTTGAAATTGGCCTGCTTTAGGGGAAAAGAAAATAGTCACTGAACTTCTGTATATTTGGCTTCGTGATTCAATTTCTACCTCCAGATTTCGTGTTTTCAATAAAAATGAAATTTTACATATATTTAAGGATGTAGTGGGCTTTCATCAAAAAACGATTTATACAGCAAAATATACCTTAATATTGAATTCATTAAGAAATCAGTTTTATGGTGATTTTAGGGTTAAAAATGTTAGCTATAATCTATTTATCTACCAAATAAAGAAATAGCTACTGTAAGAAAGTACATGTAAATTACTTTAGTTCCCATTGCATTTTTATTGCTTAGTCAGAGGAGGTTTTATTTATATAAAAGATAAATGGATTATTTTTTTCCTTTAATATTGCAGTCTATCAGCATTTTCTTACGGAAGTGGGAGAATAAAAATGATGGCAGTACTATTAGTTCCTCTCCAGGTCTACAGAGAGAGATTAGTAGTAATTTAAGCATCTAGCCACATTCCCGAGAAATTGCTTTTTATTTTATTGTGTAACTATTGCTTTCTTTAAAAGAAAAGTAAAGTTAATGGACATGATGAAGAACAGGGAGTTATATTTTGAAATTGAAGCCACATAATTCTTTTTTTCTTTTCGTGGTACTAGGGTTTTAACCCAGGGCTCTATGCTTTTTTAGCAAGTACTCTCCTACTTGAGGAATATCCAGAGCCCTTTTTGCTTTTCTTATTGTTTGGTTAGGGTCTTATTTTTATGGTTTTTTTTATTTTTATTTTTATGGTTTTTGTTGGCCTGGGGCCAACCTGGGACCTTACTCATCTTAACCTACCCCTCCTGTGTATCTGGGACTATGGATGTGAACCATTATTCCAACTTATTGGTTAAGATGGGGTTTTGACAACTTTTCTCCTGGGGCTGTCCTCAAATTGCAATCCTCCCTAAATACTACTCTCTGCTTTAGAACATTGTGTTTTAAGAAAATGCTTTCTAAATCCCTCCCAAATATCAGGAAATGTATCTTAAAACTGAGAAAATCTTTTCTGCTAGCAAATAAGTATATTTAGTTGTCAACTTTGACAATTCTTTTAAAAAATACTCAGTGATAAAGCTGGGTGGTGGTGGCTCACTTCTGTCATCCTAACTATTGAGGAGGCTGAGATCTGAGGATTGCGGTTCAGAGCCAGCCCAGGCAGGAAAGTCCATTAGACTCTTACCTCTAATGAACTACCAAAAAGCTGTGAGTGGAGCTGGCTCAAGTTGTAGAGTGCTATCCTTGGGCAAAAAGAATGTAAGGACCAGTACAAAAAACAAATAAAAAAATTAGTAATAAGATGGGACCTAGAAAGGAAATCAGGGGCAAAAAATTATACTTCATATTAACCTTTTTATGAGTCCTTATACATGTTTGGTCTACTTACTGTCTTCTTTTTCAAACAAACTCACTATAATTAGCATTTTGCACCTGAATTTGGATCCATGCTGTTCATACTAAATAAATCTTTTGAAAAAAAAAATCATGTAGCAGTAGGAGATCTGAATTATTCTTTAATTACCAAACAAATGGCCCCAAATTAGATTTTCTCTTTGAATTCTGGATGTAAAGAGAATCATTTAAGAAAGTTGGGAGGTTGTACTGACTTTTCTGTGACTTCTCGCTTTGTCCTAGGTGGCACACCCCTTGATCCAAAATCAGCTTGTCAATTACATTTACAATGGATTCTTGGTACCAGTCTTGGCTCCTGCCCTCCACAAGGTCAGTGATTGGCTGATGTCATCTTTTGTCTGTTCCTATTACAACTAGGGAAACTGAGGAAAGTGAACCCAACATGACTGACTCCATGGTGGCTCATTTCTCATTCAATATTTACTTTGGGGGAGAGTATGGAAGGCATTATTGAGAATTGAACTCAAGGCCTCTTGCTTGAGCCATACCTTCAGCCCTTTTTGCTTTAAGTTAGGGTTCTTATCTCTTTCTGCTCTGGCTGGCCTCCGAGGGTGCTTATCCTGCCTCTGCCTCCTTTGTACCTGGGGTTACAGGCATGAGCCACTGTTCCCCGTTCCCATCCGTACTTAACATATCACACATGAATTGTGAAGTTAGCCACTATGTAAGTTGGTGGTATATGGTTGGTATAGTAGAATATGGCCTTGTGAATGTCAGTAAGGCAGTCAGTGTAAAGGATACTGGCAGGGAGTCTCTGGCTCTGGTGCCTGCTCCAGTTCCTGGGTGGGGCTGCTGGAGATACTCTACTAAGCTGCCCTATAGGGCAACATCTGTCTTCTGTGGATGTAGATAGGTCAGGGGAGCACAGTGCTTTGGCTTTGCCACCTCCTTAATGGACACGATTTTCTATTATGACAATCCTGTGACAGCAAAACTTAAAAGTGAAGCCAAGTGAAAGTCCCAATCAAAGGTTGGATGTCTCATTAGCACATTCTGAATTCTTGATGACTCACATCCTGGGTAATAAGTCAACTGCTGTCTTTGTCATTGTGTGCTGCTAAGGCACCATGGACATAGAATGCTGATTTAAGTAGTCTCTCTCTCTCTCTCCTCTCCCTCTCTCTCCCTTCTCCCTCTCTCCCTAGTTCCCTCTCTCTCCCTCTCTCTTCTTTTCCTCTCCCTCCCTCTTTCCCTCTCTCTTTCAGTTTGACTTTTTTGCTACCTCTGGTAGGGAGAGAAGCAAGGAACACCTCTGGGTTGCTTTGGTGAAATGCTCATGTTTCTACATGCTGAGTCTCATTTTCACTGTCTAAGAGTAATCCATTCATAGCAATGTGGAAGCCATGAAGTGCGCTCTGGGAGTTGTCTAGTTTCAAGCACAGGTCTTCATGGAGGATGCTTCTTCCTCCCAGCCTTCTCCCTGTTTTATGAAAGCAGGATCCTGGTTTTCCTGGCTAGGCTTTTCTCTTGTATAGGTTCAAGAGTTAACCTTGGATGTGGTTTAAACATCAAAACATTGGGATTCCCAAGTTATTTTAGTAGTTTCTGGGGGCACAAAAAGATAAAGTGTGTGGAATTAGATCCATTTGGAAAATGTAAGGCAGACCTTTGCATTTATCTCTGGACATTTAGAATGCATAGTGAGTATTGATTGTACTGCTTGGGGTGGGGTGAGTGTCCTGTACTGAACATCCAGTCTCTGAGTGGAGGGGCCCCCTCTAGAGTACAGTAGCTGAGCTTCAGGATCCATTGATTGTACTGGACTTTCACTGTCTTCCCTATTGGCCTCCAACATAGAACAATTATTATAATAGTGATAGCTACCGTGATTACTCTTTTTCAGGATATCTATGTTACAGTAGCATACTTTAATGTTACAGATAGTAAAGATAACTCACTTTTTTTGTTGTTGTTGGTTGTGGGGCTTAAACTCTGGGTCTGGGCGCTGTCCCTCAGCTCTTCAGCTCAAGGCGAGCGCTCTACCACTTGAGCTACAGCGCTACTTCCGGTTTTCTAGTGGCTTATTGGAGATAGGAGTCTCATGGTCTTTCCTGCCCAGGCTGGCTTTGAACCACAATCTTCAGATCTCAGGCTCCTGAGTAGCTAGGATTACAGGCTTGAGCCATCAGCGCCCTGCAGGACAACTCTTTTTTAACTGTTATTCTAAAGGTGAGGTAGAGAGGGGTTATAGTTACCCAAGTCAGATAATGAGTACATTCCTTTTTGGACAATGTCACCCATTCCCTTGTTCTATCCCAGTTTTTCCCTCTCATCCTCACCCCCAAGTTGGATAGTTTATTTTAAACGTGTCTAGTGAGCACCCCTGATGCATTTGTTTACCCTTGAGGACAACTCTTTTTATATATGAACAGTGCTCTGTGTAATATTTTGGTACATGAATAAGTTGTATAATGTTTGGTTTTTTTGTTTTTATTTTTTGTTTTTGTTTTTTGTCGGCCGTGGGGCTTGAACTCTAGGCTTGGGCACTGTCCTTGTGCTCTTCAGCTCAAGGCGAGCACTCTACTGCTTGAGCCACAGCACCACTTCCGGTTTTCTAGCGGTTTATTGGAGATAAGAGTCTCACGAACTTTCCTGCCCGGGCTGGCTTTGAACCATGATCCTCAGACCTCAGCCTCCTGAGTAGCTAGGATTACAGGCGTGAGCCACCAGCGCCCCGCTAAGTTGTATAATGTTTAAGTCAGGGTAAACATACTTGGCTTCTCAAACATGTATCATTTGCTTATGTTGAAAACTTTTTATTCTTTTTTTCCCTTTTATTTGTATGTGTACCTATACTACGGCTTGAACTCAGAGCCTCAAAGCTGGTCTACACTTGAACTACCACCTTAACTTCTAGCTTTTTGCTGGTTAATTGGAGATAAGAGTCTTATAGATTTTCCTGCTTGGGCTGACTTTGAACCCAGATTACTGTATCTTAGCCTCCTGAATAGCTAGTATTACAAACATTAGCTATTAGCACTCAGCTCCTTGAAGCCTTTGACATTGAATTACATTTCTACTTTTTTTTTTTTTTGTCCATCATGGGTCTTGAACTCTGGGCCTGGGCACTGTCCCTCAGCTCTTCAGCTCAAGGCTAGCACTCTACCACTTGAGCCACAGCACCACTTCTGGTTTTCTGGTGGTTGATTAGAGATGAGAGTCTCACAGACTTTCCTGCCCAAGCTGGCTTTGAACTACAATCCTTATATTGCAGCCTTCTGAGTAGCTAGGATTACAGGTGTGAGCCACCAGGGCCTGGCTGAATTACAGAGCTATTATCTGTGGTCACCCCTCCTTGCTGGAGCACTCCACAGTCCCTTGCTTTGATTTCGCTGTAGCTGAGCAGTGGGCAGCCCTGCCTGGGAAGGTTCTGAAAGGGTTCCCTGGATTTTGTGAGATGAAAAATGTTCTGGAGATCGATTGCACAACAATTTGAATTGCACTGTTTGCACATTAAGCACAGTGGTGCACATGTGTAATCCTAACACTCAAAAGGCTGAGGTAGGAGTATTACAAATTGGGCTTCATAACAAAACTTTTTCTCAAAACAAAAACAAAAACCCACAGTGGTTAGGATGATGCATGGTATGTTGTGTGAATCTTACCAATTTTTAAAAAGGAATAGTTTATACATTTTACAAAGGTTGTTTAATAAAGAAACCACAAGCTCCCCACCCCCACTCCTGCCCCCCACGAATTACTAAAATATTTTGCTCACTGAATCTTCATGGAAAAACTGCCAGCTCCTGCTGGAGAGGCAACATTGTATTCTGTAATGTCCAAAGTGTTTGGAGGTGGCTTATGAGTGGAAGGAAGCTCCCAAAGTAGACGCAAGATGGCCTTGTGAAAGGATTGGTGAGGACTTTTGTTCCCTGTATGATCAGGTAAGAACAGGTGAGGCAGGCTGACTGACTGACTGATGGTAGGTTGGAAGACTGTCTAGGTGTGTTGATAGGGTTCTGGGCTGGATGGGAGACCAGTGGATGGCTGACAGTAGCAGCCAAAAATGGTTCCAGTACTTGTCTCAACTCTCGGATGAGAAAGAAGCTTGGAAGGTGTTTGGAGGGTTAAGAGGGTTGTGGAAATCATACCATGGCTCAGTCATGCTGTTTCAAAGAACCTGTGTTGATTTCAGTGCTGTGGGCTGCTTTGGCTCCTTTCTTTAGAGTTGTTAGGAAAGCGGGCAGAAGTTTGGGGAGTCTGTGGTAGGCAGAAGCACTGGGAGGCGCTTGATGGGTGGAGGGGAGGGTTTTCATACACATCTTTCTTCAAGCATCTCAAAGCCATAGAGGTGTCTACTGTGACCTCAGAGAGAGCCTGTGTCTCTGAGGTTTTTGCAAGAGCAGCAAGCTGTGTCTCACTTGGCAAATTATTCCATGCAAGTGTGACTGGAAAAACAGAAGCAAAAAAAAAAAAATCTATCAGAAAACCTTATTTTTCCACTCTCTCCTGTGTGCTGAAACCGTGCTTGAACAACATACACATGAAGAATAATTCCAGACATTTCCTTAAGGGCATGTGTGTTGGATTCGTACAAGCTACCACGGAACCCATTTGTTGTACAGCCTTGTGTATTCCAAACACACGCATACATTTTCATGATCTGCACCCTGTGGGCCCAGTACTTCATGGCTTATTGACTTAAGTTGATGGATGGAGGATTTGGGGGCACTTGAGAAGGAACGTTGGACATTTTGAGAGGCTGGGTGCAGCCAGTTGTCCGCTTGCCATCAGTGTATATGCAGGTGGGCAGGCCAGGACGCCTTTGCAGCCAGGTTTGGCTTTCACTGGCAATGCATGTTTTGGATTTTTATGTCCAGTGCAAATCATGAGTGAAGATTTTAAGAGCAATTAAGAAGCATCTTCACATTATCACTATTATAAAATATTAATGGTCCACAATTGAGCACTGAGGTTACAGCCATGGTGAGACATGAGCAGAGTGGCCTCAGCGCCAGCCTCTGAGCCCTCTCTCCTTCCCTACTCAAGCGTCTCTGGTCTGGGAGTTGGAAGTGAGGGTTAGGGATAGAAGGAGGGGAGGGACCTGTCTTCCTGCTGGTTCTTTTTGCAGACTTCCTTTTGCAGTTTTGGATGTGTGCCACGTCCCTGCTGCCATCTGGGTCACTTTTCGATGCAAAACACTTTGATGATACGGATCTGGTTTCCAACCATGTTCACTGACAAAGTTGTTCCCTTTGGTGGGAAATGCAGAGAACACTAGAATCCAAAGTATAGAATTTGGGGTGGCATCTGAGCTTTGGAATTTGGAGATTTTTAAAATTTGTGGTCCCAGTAGGTACTTTGTGTTT